CGACTGCTCCAAAATGACAATATCTCACGAAAACCTGAGCCGCCGCCATTCTGAAATCAAGTACGCAGCCACTTCTACCCGATCTCAGGGATTTTGAGTATATCTATGCAGCACCGCAGCCGCTTCATATCAATCCCTTGGCTTCATGCTGTACTTCGCAACTGAAGCGATATGAGCACCAGCATCCGTCGGACATTTGTGTGCGGGCGAGGTGGGCTCGGTATGTTAAGACGCGTCCTGAGTTATGTCCCGCTAGGCGTATTGATCCTACACAACTTGGGAATTTTGCGTGCCACTTACTTTTGACTAAATGCTTTAGTAACTTTAAAAAAATGAAATGATTCCATGTAACCGCACGTCAGTCTTACCTGTTGAATCGTTTATATCCTGCCCTATCGAAATCGGGTACGGTTTTGTCTGGGAATAATCCGGCCCAATGTGCTTGCATTACACATCTAAACGAACACAACAAGATTAAAGGGAAAAGTATAGCCTGAGCGACTGAATAGCTTTATCTTTGCCAGAAGGCTATAGCGTGAGGAAATCACGGCGCATCATCACTTTGAGAAAAATTAGCAAAACATGACTCCCCAAAACTTCTCTTTCAAATAAAATATTGTAGTCGACAGGGCTGAGGACGAGAGGGGGTATAGCACTTGTAACGGAAAAAATCAAGCGGAAGAGAGTTGCACTGGAGGAAGTTGTCTCAAAAAGCCGTTTTCGCTAAAGATTACTAAATTCACGCAATAAAAGCCGGTACTGATACGGTGACATCAAGTCCTCGAAATCAGTGATAATGGGCCGGTACAGTACAGCCACATGAAAGCGACCACATCAAATTGTTCTGAGGTGATGTTTGATTCACAGTTACCGTTATCGCAAGAGTCCCCAGTTATGAGTGATTCGAAGCGAAATTCGTGATTTCTGGGCGGTGTATTGATTAGGTCAATCAAAACGAAATGATACAAAACAATGCGTCGCACCTCTCAAGTCGCAGTTGCTGCTTCTTACATAGTCCTGTGAGTTCGCGCGGAAGAACAGTACCATCTTCCCGCATAAACTGCTCGAGGATTAGAACGTCACTGAAACATAAACGTTACGTCGTTACGTACAATTTTTCAGACAATAGGAACAGGAACACAGTGAAGTATAAAAGTAGGAACAAAAAAGCCGCCAGCATTCATCGATCTTTGTTGGGATATCTCTTCCGTTTGAAACCGCGGTGATGTTTTAAAATACAATTCAGCCCATACATTTACAAAGGGAGCTGTCGATAAAAAAACTTACTGTTTTACCCTCCCGGACAACTTCTGCTAAACACTGACCGGCCCCGGCGCTCGGGGTAGAGGCTTGGATAGCCCGGGTCGCGACGCAGAGCCCAGGAGCATCTAACAGGATGATCGCCAGCGCGGCAAGCGACGCCTGGTTTGCCGCTCTACTACCTTCTCCCACACAGAGCATCATAAAGGATCGCTTCGCGTTTGATCAACCCTTTAGTGGGTTGCGGCACGCATTCTACTTCCATTCAGAATCGCAGCTTCTTGTTATGCGATGTGCCTTATATTATACAATGACTTCGCGAGCGGCCAGCATATGATGTTTAAGAAGTTACTATATTATCCTCCCCAAATGGCATCGGCGTACCAACGATTACCGTCCCCAGGAGAAGTAGAAGGCTGTCGTGGCTCGGCGCAAAGGCCTGATCTGAGGATTGTCGGATCCTCGGAAAAGGGCGTGCGCTAAAGTCGTGCTCTTGCAAATTGCCAACACCACCTCCGCCTCACACAGCAAAACAATAGTTTTTCAGAAAGCTCAGATTTTAAAAAATACACTCTAGTAAATGGAACGGAATATGAAACACGGAATCGAGGAAGGGAGGAAGGTGAACAGAGGGAAACCCACACCCCGAACTCGGATCGAGAGTGCTTCATGGCAAATTACCCCTTAGTATTTACACAAAGGTGGGCAAAGTAAAAAACCCCAAGTGATGTGATCATAGATAATTAAGAAGAATGCTATAGTACCTGTATGACAATTTAACAGGAATGGTGCATGTACAAAGGGCGCAATGAGAACTGGATGGCGGCTGTGGTTCCGGGACTTCTTCCATTGCCACAACAGTCACGTCATTTTCCACTTTTTCGGTGACTGAAACGCAATTATTACCATATGGTGATTGTAGTCAGTAGGACCATGAACTCTACCTCGGCCAACCTAAAAACCTAGAAATGACCAGGGAAGGAGGGTCGGCTGAGGTGAGAATCGTTTGAAACCTAATGTACACCCACTGATGTGCCTTTTGATGATGATATGAAGTAGTTGTCCATATTCGCAACTTTTCCGAATTAAGGTTTTGTGACTGCGGCATATTCACAAGCAATACGAATCGCGGGCGTAAGGCTGTTCGGATGAGGCACCGAAGGTCAGCAGTTGTGTGGATGGCTTCCAGCTTGCAATTCAATTGCAATGTGATGCAATTTGTCTCTCATTTGAAGCAGCGTCATCCCGAAATTCGTTTTGAAGGTGCGTAAGCCAAGAAAAGCCTTTCATAATTCTGTACATAGAGGTCTGTGTCAGATGTGGAAAATGAATCGTAGTCAGTGCCCAAAGACACACCATACGGTATATATACAATTTCAGAAGGACACTCCGACGTGCCATCCCTCCCTTGCGGAAAGAAATGCAATTATTCAGTTATGCATGGAGCTGACTGATGACTCAGTTATAACCCAGTTCGCTGCAGAGGAGGGAGCGTGTCAGGCTGGCAGAGTTTCGCGCGATGCCAAACCCGTTCTCCACCAGTTGTTGAAGCGAGCAAGTGACAAGACTGTATCATATCGTTCGTGTCACTCGTTTTCTACCAATTGTTGTCGCATACCCGCTTCAAGAGCTGGGAGAAGGATTTGGTTCCATAGCGCACTCATAATGACAAGCCCTTTCATCCGCAGCGAACTAAGTATAAAAATGAGATATTTCTTGAATCTGACCAATAAAGATGACGATGAATCGATTTCAAAGCAGCACATCAGAAAAAGGTTTGCTGCAAAATGAGAGGCACTCGAAACAGTTTACGTTCGTGCGTCACTGGTAAATGGAAAAATCGCAAAATGACAGTATTTGCAATAGTCTGAGAAATTGGAGAATCGGAGATCAATTAACATATATAGAATTTCGCATCATTCGATCCTTCTAATTATTCGACTCGTTACAAAGTAATAACTCGTCTCAATCGACGGTGCAAGCGCAAGATTCTCCAGCAGCACTTCCTTCCAACTCATGAAGCTCCATGTCGGGACGCTCTGATTTTCAGCCACCTTTTCAGAGATGGAAATGAATCCAGTCATGTAGAGATCGCAGGATTTGGATGCGCGATCGATATGATGACGCGTCCGGACTCGCGCGATCGCTGTGATCGCGTGATTTGGATCGCGCGATCGCTGTGATCGCGCGATCGCGCTACTGTGGGTGAAATTACACCGGGAGGGGTCATGTTCGTTCGTGTTCAACTCAACTACTCAACAAACAATAACAACAAAGTTCTGGGGAGTCGTACTGATATCACCATTTCTCACATCACGATGCTGTATCCTGCCTCCAATAGGCAGTTCCAAAAACGATATAAAAGTAGTTCGACCTTTTTTGATGTCTTTTATTCCGTGTTCATATTCGCAATACTGACGTTTGCAGAAACCGTCGAAAGGAAAGGTTGTGTATAGACCTGGAGGATGGCAGAACAAACAAAGCAACACAATGTGACAAAAGTAAAGTGAATATCTGGAGGACTGGCAAAATCGGGGGAAGGGAGAGAAACAACATCACCGCTGTTGAAAGTTCTGCGTGTCTTACTTTTGGAACAAGATGTTCAATACTCCGCTTGAACGTACTCAGATGCAAAATTCAGTATAATAATTGGCATATTGAATATACTATATTTAGTACTATTTTACATAGGAAATAATAAATAACTCAAAGATATTTCGAAACGTTCCTTAAAATTAGGAGGGCGTTATGTACACAAAGGAAGAAAGAAGGAAAAGGAAAAAAGAACAGGAACAATAAACATGAACGAACATGACCCCCTCCCGGTGTAATTTCACCCACAGTAGCGCGATCGCGCGATCCAGATCGCGCGATCACAGCGATCGCGCGATCCAAATCACGCGATCACAGCGATCGCGCGATCGCGAAGTCTGAACGCGCTCTTAGACCGCGTTCACAGAGCTATGCGCGTGACAGAATGCAGAAATGAGGAAACTGCAGAAGTGGCGAAAAGCAATAAATACATATCAATTTGAAGAAATGCAGAAGTGCTGAACTGCGGAAAATCGATACGTATCGGTTGCTTTTCGTCATTTCTGCAGATTCCACACTTGCAGTTTCCGTATTCGCGGCGCAGAATTCCGCACTTCTGCAGTAACGGCATTTCGTGCTGTTTCTTCAGACCGATTTGTATATAAGTGTTTTCGTCATTTACGCAAAATTTCTGGATTTTTCATAGTTCGCAAGGTACGAACGCGGCCTTAGTGCAGAGCACCATATCCCGTAATGGAGAGATTAGCATACCATCCAGGACTGAGTCACTTGCTATTGTTTTAAAAAGAAAACATTGCTAGTAAAGGACTCACATTTCCACTTCTGCGCACTACAAGACGCAGAGATACCTCGTACAGCGCTGAACAACTGATCTTTTCCCAACCGCAACCGTAACAGGCTTGGAGCTAGAACGGACATATCTGCAACTTCTCAGAATAGACTGTGACGTCAGAACTGCTCACGAAAGAAGTCACAGCTACGAACAGGAAGATGAACAGCACGAGTATTTACCGCAACACACTTGCAGAGACAATCGAGTAAACCGCGACGGAGGGCCGCGTCGCTTTAATCAGAGTTATCTCTGGAGCATCACAGCTATGCTATGGCCTAGTAATACGTTCCAAACCGATTGCCATTTTTAGAGTTCTCTTCGTATTCCAGACGTTTCGGCAGAAAATACTTCACAAAACTGGTGAGATAATATAGAAAGATAAACACGGAAAAAGAAATCCCTTCTAAGTTTTGAAGTGTGGAGGAAATTTGATTTCGCACAGGTACAAGGTAACGAGAAGTGTAAGAATCTCCAAAATGCCGCAATCCTGTGCATTAAGCGCGGAGTTCCGGCCAGAGTTTTCTGAGATGTCATTTTCCGTTGAGATTGTGATCAAGTGATTTTCTGGAGTCAACTCGGACTGGACATCTTTGTATCGTCATTAGAAACCAGTGGTTTGGTGGCACACTATTACTCGAGAGGAGAGAGAGCATTGGCCGTCGGTACGACTTGCTTCTATCGTTGCAAAAAGCTAGACTTTTATGCCAGACAAATGCATGACTACCCTCTATCCCGCTCGAATAGAAAATAATAGGTTTGTTGACGCCTCGACTTGTCTGTCGGTCTGCAAAATGCCCCGTAGATAAGGAGGGGCAGGATCAAATCACTGCCGGAACTTGGAAAGTATTCAAATTCGTAGCACATGCAGCCTAAATGCGCATTAATAGTAGCCTCCTAGACAGTAGAAGACGCCTGCTTCATGTACCTTCTGAACAACCGGAAGAGCTGGTGTCACATCATGGCAGCCAACCTGAGGTTTGTTGAGGAAAAACCCTAGTGGTGAGAAGCGGAAGAGTGTCGAATTGCAGGTACGACCATTTTTAGGAGACGGGAGCAGTTTACTTGAATTGACCAGCTACAACTCTTTCGACACTCCTGAGAGGTCGAGAGTATGTAACAAGCAGTGCCGAGTAGCTACTGCCCCGATTCCGGAACAATTGGCGCTTCCCACGGCGAGACGACGCACAGCCGCCGTCGCGTCCTCCTTGGAAATAGTCGTGCCAGTCCGCGGCTGACGGCATCCTGTGTACCTTGGGGGCCCATGAAGTCGCCCTGACAGTCTTGTAGAACAGTCATTTCTTTTGAATTCTCTTTTGATATAATTCTCCCCGCCCCCATTCTGTTTATTGAACCATTTTGTGGTGAAGGGATGTCGAGCCTTGCCTCCAACAAAGGGCTTTTCATTGCGGTTTTGAACATTCTTGGGCGCTTCCGGATTCCGAAACTATAGTGGCATGAGTTGGGTTGGAGCTAAGACCGCATTTGCACGAGGCGCAAGTCGTCACAAACTGGACTGATCGTTTGAACACAGTACTCATGCCTCATATGTCTTCGTGCCTGGTGATCCTAAATAATGGGAGCTTATCTAGACTGCCTTGACGGTTTCTTTTGCTTGCCACTGACATGTCAAGTTACCACTTTCAAATACGTATTTGAGCCTCACTACCGCATTTTGTGGTCGCGATGTTGGCCTTGTCCGCAATCCGTTCTCACCCTGAATCCAGTCAAATAAGCAATAGCTTTTCGTCAATCGAAGACCTTAATTGTAAACGTTAGCATTTCATCGCCATAGCAGGAAGTCCGATCGTCCTCGCGGTCGCGGTCATTGCCGCGAATGAATGTGGATTCCCTGTAAATATATGAAATATTAAGTCTTGTCTATTACAGAAGAACTTAATTGTCAATATCATCTGACAGGAATCCACATTCAATCGATCAACGCACGCCGCGCAATGACCGCGACGCGAGACGACTGACTTCGCTGGCGTGAAATGTACGTTTGACAATTAAGTTCTTCTCTTTTTCGTCCTCCTATATAGTGCTCTTTAAGAATTCTAATGGCCGTCAAAGCTCGGCTCATTGCAGTTTATTCGGTTTTATATGTCTACAGAAAAGATCAGTTCTAAAATTTTCTCTTAAGTGAGAAAGCTGTGCCCTACCATCAGCGTGGAGCCATGAATTTCTATATGAAACCCTCTTTTTCTCCAGCGTCATAGTGTTGAAGTCCTGGGATTTGCCATCATTCATATTGGTGTCTGTTCTGGATACGTTGAAACGAGCCCCCACCCTGCTATCTAATCCCTTTTTCGTCGTAGCTGAAAGTACCGTCTTTATCGCTGTAGATGATGGGGCGTTTCAGAAAAAGAGGGCATGGCTAGGCACGGGTTCGCTGCGGAAGATGGGGCTCGTTGAAAGGGAGAGGGGCTAGAGCGGCGCGATATCCGTTTTATACCAGTTATTGAAGCGAGCAGCGACTGTATCATATCGCTCGTATCAGTCGTTTTGAAGGAAGCGTTGGCGGCGTGCCACATCCAGGCTCACTGAGGTCATCCGCAGCGGACAGTACTTTAGAAAACCGTACATTTCAGAATTTCGAACCGATGAAAACGTGATGGTGGTGTTGCAGTTGTCATAAAAGCTGAATCAATTGATGCGATCTGTACTCTACTCTTAGTTACTTTGTTGTTGTGGGGTAAAACAAACAAGAATGTATCGAAGAAGTGAATTTGGGTGGTTTGTTTCGTCCTCCCTCGGACGAACCTTTGTCGCCACATCTGTTCTGCTCGTTCTACTCTTGAGCTCACTGGCGCGTTTAGACCGCGTTCAGAATTCGCGATCCTATCGTTCGAGTGAAAGGCGCGATCGAATCACTCGATTAAATCGCGCGAATAGTCGCTCGATCGCGAAGTATGAACACGCTTTGAAGGATAGTGGTCAATGACTGGTATTTCAGTTTTCCTCCCATAAAAACTCCTGCAAACAACTTTTATTTTTGCGTTATAGCGTTATATTTCTGTTCTGATAGCTACTGCTACACGACCGATTTGCTTACTAACGTTTGTTGAGCGCAGATGTAAAATAGAATAAAATTACTGATGCGCTGCAGATTGCTTAATTGTATTTTCTGTTCCCGGCTGTTACCCCTGTCAAGGGTCTAGATTTCTTTCATCCCTTGCAGTGTTTGGTCCTTTTCTGGACGTGAGAGAGTCAAAACAAGAAGGGCTGTGGATTTCAGAGATGAGGGACACTCCTGTGCAGCACTGGAATCTCGGAATAGGACCTATTACGTGCCACGCTTGGAACAAAGACCGAACACGTGAGCAATTTATTATCTTATTTCAGTTTGGAAATACTCAGTTTTGGGATTATTTATTTCCTCAGTGGCAAGATTGTGGTGAGATTGAAAAGTAGTGTTGCATAGGTAAGATCATAGGATTCCTGAGTTTCATTGTGTATAGAACCGTTCCGTGTTTTACTTGTTGGACAGAACTCTTTGAGCTTCTACATTCTAGTTCGCTGAGGACGGTTGGGCGTGTCAGCCAGTATGAGTGTGTCACCCCCATCAAAGCCGTTCTGATGGATATTATACAGTATTGTCACTTGCCCGCTTCAACAACTGGTGAAACGAGTTTGGCACCGCGCCAAACGCAGCCGCACTGACACGCCCAACCGTCCGCAGCGAACTACACTATATTTAACGAAGTTTCGGCCCTTAAGCCCTTTCCAGGTCTAGAATACAAACAATCAAATATCATGCGTAAACATAAGTTTTAAATAGCTAAGCTACAAGAGACTACTGAAAAACGAATCGCTAGCCACTGACCGATTGTTAAGACGAAAGTTATTGTCCAGGAGAACGGGTTCTTCCCGGGAGCCACCTGAATGCAACGGGAGGAATCCGTCCTAGTATCCAGTAACTTTTGTCTTAATAATCGGTCACTTATTAACGATTTGTTTTTTTCTAGTACTGGTGCTTGAGCATGAGATTTGATTGTTTGTATTCTAGACCTGAGGAAGGATCTAAGGGTCGAAACGTTGTCAAATAAGAACTCGAAGAGTTTTGTCCAACAAATAAAACACGAAGTATATTAGGTAGATGGATGCTCATAGGTTACTCTCCGCAGATTTCATAGTGGATTTTCCTCATTTAATCCAGTATATATCTGTTTCCATTCTCAAACACAGTGCTCTCGAGTTTCGTCTTTTATTTTCTTGCGAATATTATCTTTTATTCTATTTTGATGTTTTTATCATCCTCATGTTTTTCAACCCTATCTACCCAGTTTCTTCATATCTTTTTTTCAGAGATTGCCGTCTCCGCCTCGAGTAACGAGATTCACATCTTTGCCTGGCGAAATGGCGATTGGGTGAACACATGCACACTGTCTGAGCATGACCTTCCAGTCACTGGCCTTGACTGGGCCCCCAACACCAACCGGATAGTGTCCTGCTCGAGAGATAAGAATGCTTTCGTTTGGACATTCGACAAAGGTGTTTGGAAGCCGGAGCTGGTGCTGGTGAGTGTCCGGACGTCATTGTGGATTCACCCCATATGTCATTTGTATCTTAGGTCCGATTCCAACGTGCTGCGACCTGCGTGAAATGGTCGCCCGAAGAAAACAAATTTGCTGTCGGAAGCGGCTCAAAACTGGTTTCGGTCTGCTATTATGAAAGAGAAAATGACTGGTAATCCCCTTGTTTTGTTTCTCGTTTAGTTCTGTTGAGAAACAACTGAAGTTTTTTCCAGGTGGGTTGCTAAACAAATCAGGAAACCTATCCGGTCTACAGTGAATTGCATTGACTGGCATCCCAACAACGTCTTGCTCGCTGTAGGAGCTTGCGATTTCCGTGCGAGGGTGTTTTCCGCTTGGGTGAAAGAGGTAGTTTGTTTTCTCACGGATTCCTTTTTCTGTTGGTAGTTTTGCGTTAAAATGGTTGACTGAACTCGTTTTATTTCCATCTTAATGAAAAATTTTTGGACTGTGCTCACCATTTTTTGCGCTGCCCAACAAATTTCTAAAAGCTTGAAATATTTTGGAGGTTTGGAGCCACGTGAAGTCGAGCACGAATACAATTTATAATATATCATCCTCGGGCGATGGACTGGGGAGCCTGAGGCTTGGATTCCATGTATTTATGCGTTCACGGTTTTGAGCGTGCGCACGCTCAGTGTTTTGGAGCGCTTCTGCTGCTATCTACGAAGAGTAATAAGGAAATAAGATTAAGCGTTTCTTAGCGTACGTCGAGCGGTTCTTACGCGCGATCTTCCGCTGAGACAGGAGCGGCGCGGCAAAGAGCTCAAATTCACTGACGACGCGGGCGAAGGCGCGCTAGATCTATTCCTATCACGCTATATGCATGACAGTCGCGGAAAACACTTGAAGACACAGTTCAAGTCGCGGCAGCTGTTTATAAGATAGTTCTTCGCGCATACAATTTTGCATAAAGAATTGCAAGCTGAGAACGTTTTGTTTGCATCAAATCAAGTCAACTAGCCCTTAAAATGTCGTTCCAAAAAGTATCCAAAAGTAAAGGTTTATTCGAGTTACCGTATTGCCTTACCTGTGGGTAACGAATTTTTGGAAAAGATTATATTATCGTCAAGGCGCGCCACAATTACTCGGCATGCTGCTGCCAGCTCTGATAGCTGGACCGTTTTCACATTTCTGCTGTTTGGAGATCCCAATTCGGAAAAGAATATCAGCACTTGTCTGGCGTGTTCACTCCTTCTTCCTTTCTTTTTTTTAACACTCGTAAGACCTAGTGTTTGCTCCCAACAGCATGTAGAATTTTGTAAAACCGGTCCAATATCAGAAAGGCGTGGGTGGATGCCCCATCGAGCTAATCGTCAAATTCTGTCCGGCCGGTAACGGAATTCAACCAACGCAATTTTTTATAGCTTTTAAGGTGTAGCTTCCTATCTGAGCCAAACGAAGTTTTTGATGCTGCAATTTAAAACCTTGTATGTAAAAACTAATTGAAAGCGCACGAGCTTGGGGTTGTTCGATGTTATAATAATAAATATCCAGCTAATCACGCCGTGGCGATTTTGCGTACTCACTGCTTCTACCGTAGTCCACGTCTCATGCATATTCACACTGTGGCTACTGCGCCAACTATAATGAAGTGAAGGCAAAGAAAATGGCTGTGATTGTGCCAAAAGGGATAGTAAACGTTCGATTTTGTATCATAAATTTATCTTTAATTGGTTCAATCATTGGGCACTGGTGTACTTCAGACGCCGTTCTAGGCTAAGTCAGGAGTGATCGCCAGCTCCTCACCGTACGACAACCGAAACTCATGATTTGTTACTAAGCGTGCCTTAAAAAGAGACTTATCATTGTGGGTCTAACAATGCCTGTAGCGTGTTGGGCAATATGCGTTGCATTGTCCTCATATATCCTTGTTACAGGTGCAAGCGTGCACGGGAAAGCGGGAGGCGGAGAGGGGGGAAAGCCACGGTCTAAAGATGGCTTACGAAGAAATGCGGCGACTGAAGGTGAGTCGTTCGGTCGTAGGCGAGTGAAGGCAGAGGGGGTGGGGTCGTAAGTACAGGCGTCAATAATGAGCAAAGCTGTGGCAGAACTAGTGAAGCACTGCATCGCTTTCGTGCCTCGCCGTGGAGTGCCGTAAACTCCGTCGGATTGCAATTTCATGATAAATTGATGTAGTGTAAATGAACTACATAGCTATTATAGAAAGTGATGCTTGTCTAAGTATGATAACGGAACGATCAGCTGTAGCGCCAGGTTGTTCTTTTCTATATAAAGCGCGCTTCTTATGGGTCCATATTTCTATGTCACTGTGATCTTGCAAGACGAACAAGTGGCGCGTTACATAGGAAGGTTGATCAGCGCTCCTGTGCTTCAAGTTTCATTCTTATCAAGCGAAAGAGAAGAAAGCCTTCTGGGGTTCTGGATGGAAGTGTGGCTTGTGTAATTGAGAGACCTTCTTGTTGCAGCTTTCAGTAAACTCTCGGATCAAAAACCGCGCCGAGTGTTCTTTGATATACTAGGCTTAAAATATATAATGTCCTCAATAGAAGGAGGAAAATTTCCATTTCTCAACTTCGTCTAGTTTTGCGGTCTAAGTTATGTTGGAACTAACTCATGTCCATGAAAAAACAAAAATTCGCTTCTATCGAGAACCTCTCGCTCTGGACCGAGGCCGCATAAACACTTCTCTCTGTTGCGAGTCATACCGAACGGCGGGGTTTGTGATTTTTTGCTGTATTGCCTGGTCCTGGGGGCTCGCAATGCGTTAATTCCTCCTCCTAAAAGAGACATGAGCCTGGATCGCGTCGATCGCGACCCTTGTCGTATGAGCTGATGTTATCTATGCCAGAGAAGAGCAAGTTAAATTAATTACAGTTGGCGCAGCAGCCGCAGCTGTGAATGCACATTAGACGTGCATTACGGTAGCAGCAGTTAGTTAACGGATTGCACGGCTGATTGTTGGTATTTTATATATACATCGGGTTTCTTGTTCCAAGTTTTTTTTTGCGCGACTGTGATATATCTTCATGGTCGTTAAGTACGTTTGCCGTACGGCTGCCATGTGCTGACGCTCAAAATGTTGCCGTAGTTTCGAAGCGCTCAAAGCGCTGACGCAACGTATAAACGCACTCTGAGGCGGCGGCCGTCTTTCGTGTCTGCGCCGCATGTCACCCGAGCACAGTTGGTTCACGCCTTGCAACTGGGTCGTGCATCCGAGGATGGGGGGGGAAGCGTTATGGCTGATGTTTGGACGTGAGGACTTTTGCGAAGGAAGAACGAATCCGGACTGTGGGAAATGGCGTAATTGAGGACCAAGATTAGACCGGAATTATTATAATCCTCGCCTTGTGCGAATACAGCCTTTTTCCCTCCAATGCTGCAGTTTCTTATTTGGTGGATTCACGCGGATTTTTTGGAGCATAGAATGCGGCTCTAAACACGCTCTCGCTCGCAGCAAACCCGATGACAATGGAGAGCGCGAACTCCCCATTGGAATTCCACGTCTTTTAGCTGGCATCTTTTTTTCAACTGGGTGCAGTGATTGGAACCATCAGAATTAAAGTCAAGGCAAACGTTCAAATGAATAGAAAAGCAAGGTCAATGGCAAGCCGTATTCTACAGAAAAACATTTCATTCGGGCTGTAACAAAAAAGGAAATATAAGTTAATACGTAATTAGAAAGTCATTGGAATGAAGTAGTATCCATCATCCCAGCGAGATTTTGCACAATATTATCACTCAACATCTTCGTCACCTGAAGAAAAGTTGTTAATGAAACTCCCTGCCAGTAAAAACAAGGACGATTGATCAAAATCAAGCAGCTACACACCTCCTCTCCAAGATGTCTCTTAGGATCTTGCTTCCCAACATTCTTAATGGCAAGTTCTTCGTCGGTCATTTTCTCTTCATCTTCAAGAGCCTTAAACAGAAGAGGAAATACACACCGCATGCAAAAAATAAAAATGAGCTGAAGTAACAAAGGCACAAGAATTCAACAAACTGAACAAGTCTTGCTACTGGATGACAAACTCAATCAAACACTTATTACCGTGACCTGTTTGACGTACCGGCACCCAAAAAGGCACAAATAGCACTGAGAGTATACGTACGGCCCGCACATTCATCATCCCAAATAAGAATCAGCTGGCTGCCAGCATAGGATGTGCCCATTTCGTAAACAGAGACGCATGCGGCTTCCATTCCGAGAGGCTGAGGTTACCGAGAAGAGCGGGTTGCAGCATGCAACAAGCGAAAGGATTGAGATATCACTCCGCAGCAGCGCCAGGGATGACGTTTCATAGGCATTTTAACAGTTGGTTTTGAGCGCTAGCTGACTTTTGGCAAGCAGTCAGTGTTTTTGCTACACGCCCCTCGGCCGTCTCGCGTTCATGTACTTTATGGAACGAAGCCCACCTAATAAAACGATTCGCGAAGAAGCGCCAAGCGAGACGCCTTTAGAGTCCATCAGTCGTTATCCATCAATATTTACCCTCTCTGACCACCATTTTGTATCAAGGAATGACCAACAGAGTAATGAAAACAGGACAACGTGTGTTATTGCGTATTGAAGGGCTTACCAAAAAGAATAAAATACGCGAATAGCCAGAGGAACGTAGTGAACTCCAAACAAGTTTCCAAAATGTTTAAAACAACCAATAGATAATAAACCCAATCGTAAGAGTGGCGTGTTTTCGAAGCGTTAGTAGCCACGAATGCAGATCGGCGAAATGCTCTAAGCGAGTGTTTCTTAGATGGACCAGATCAGCGCTTGTGTTTGGCGAAATGGAGCGATAAAAAACCCAGCATAATATTTTGAGAAGAATAACATAAGAACGCTCAACCCCCAGCCCGCCGCCTCCAAAATACCAGCACATCAGGAACGGAAATGCAGAACATAAAACAAAAGGATAGCATGACTGGTACCTACCTTCTTGTAAAGTTTAGCGAGCTTCAGCATAGCAGTCATGCTGTCCTTGTTCTTTTCACTACAACCAGTATAATTCTGAACTGCTAATGAATCCATCCAAGATTGCTTGTTAAGATTCAATAACATCTGAAAATAAGGGCAGAATAAGAAGGAGAGTGGAACTTGAGCATCTATCACCGTAAAAATGAAAGCAACAGGTAACAGCGGGGAAGTCCTTAGTACCTTTTGCTCTAGATCATGAGTCCGATAAGCGATAGGTATTGAGTAGTAATGTCGATTTAGTCCATGAATTAAGGCCTGAATTGAAAAAAAGCTTCAGAAATCAGCCTAAAACAAATAAAACTCGAAAAGGTACAAAAACCCACACACCTGAATACTAGGCTTTTGAAGATGACCGAGATTACTGGTAGTCTGCCGCGGTTCTTGGTTGAGGGCCATTGTCTGTGGATTAATGGTACGGAAGGCATCTATGACCACCTGAAGGATAAAAGATGGAGGATTTGCCGCTGATCAATCTCTTTTGGCACAATCGCTTTCCAGTTAAACTGTATTGGCTTAGTGAATGCTGTGCGGCCTATGCAGAGACTTTGCGGAGGGAAACAAGTCAGTGTTCTTATCCTCCCAGACGAGTCTGGTACCGATTTAGGCGGAAGGCTCGGTTTGCACGAGCGAGAACCGATCCAAATTTGACCCCTTGAACACATTGACACCGTGCGACTTCTGCAAATTCAGTGCATCCGCAAGGCAAGGTTTTGATAGGTATCGACAGGGATGTCGGCGCAGGCGATTTCGGCGCCTCGCGAGAAGGGTTGATTTCGAATATATATTTTGCTGGCTTCACCCAATTGAAGAGGGAGAGCTTGCGAAGCTGGAATTTCGCCCTGCCGGTCAGCCGATTCTCCCCATAAATGCGTATC